TTCCTGCTTTTTGACAGATTCTAAATAGGATTTGATGTGGATTTAAAGCTTTTTGCAAGAGGTGCCTATGACTGTTCTAGTAGGGAGTGGAGACATAATATAACTGTAATTATGAAATGGCCTTGCGCTTTGACGGAAAAAATATCTTGAGAAATAACATTTGGTTTTCCAGGCACAGATAGGAGGACTGTGTGCTTGATCTCTAAATGAGGGAAATCGAAGAGCAGCAGCTACTTGTTCCTATCAAAGTGTAGAAGTAGGAAACAGTCTTTGAAAAAAACTGACTGATGTTTACATGCTTCTTAAGCTGTTTCCTGTAGTGGTCAGGTGCTGATGATTTTAATTTGGAGCAGTACTGCATTCATTGTGCCCCTTTTGATCCATCTGACATGGGCAATGTATATGCTAGTACTCTTAAACATGCTAATTACTAGCCTTCACTGTTCCTTTATATGATCAAACATTAAATAGCATATAAGGGACACTTCAAAATGCCTTACAAGTGTAGAGCAAGATAATAATTTCTGATGACAAGGAATTACCAGAGTGCAGAAAGTGATTATTCTGTTTTCCCACAAGAAATCACAGCTGTATTTTGGTTTTATAGATCAACCTTTTCATTTTTTCACCCCAGTATTTCCAAAGCTGTCTAATAAGTGGGGCTTTGTCATTTCCTTATGCTGCTGTTAAGGAAACAGATAAGGATAACTTAACTAGTGGGTGGAATTTGATCTCAGCTGTGTGAGCGAGTCGTGTATAGCTTCTTTGCTGCTGCAGTCGATGCTGTGGTTTAACAGGAGGCAAGGTGTGCAGTAATGGAATTTGCAGACTGGACTACCTGTAAACCAAGGTGCTGTGTGTTAGTGCTGTGAGAGCAGCCATAGCTGTAGTTCCCTTACGTTGCACTGGCGCAAAAAGACAAAGCGAACGTGGGAGTGTTAGAGGAGGAAAGGGAGAATTGCTGCAAATTCTGGGGGTTGTTACAAAGCCTGAAGGCTCTATGTAATGTTTGACTGCAGATGCGTGATCGTGTTAGGAAGGTTGGCTTGCCCATGCAGCATCACCATGAGTTAGGAATTTTTTCTTATTTAGGAAATACTAAATTTTAAAATGTTTTACATAAAATTCTGTTCATACCGAGACTTTCAGCTATCTACACTGCAATTTAGTTTTAACTTTTGTAGTAAACTGTTCCATTTTCCCACAGAATATTTATCATCATTATTCAAGCTGGCTCAATTTCACCTTGTCTGCTGAAGGTCATAATTTTCACAAAACTTATAGTACAGGGAGTCTTCTGGTTTCACGCTTGTCTTCCTTCTCCAGCCCTGAAACAGCTCTCCCTCAGCTCTGTTGCTTTTGGAGTAACAAGACAAATGTTTTTTACTAAAAGCATTTTCAATCTAATTGACACCAACTGTAGGCATATTGTAACTGAAGTATGGGGAAAGGAACATACTTTCACCTCCATAGAAAACTAGACATGTTTTTCATAGGGCATTTTGATATGCTTCAAGGTTTTCTGTTAATAATCTATATGGCCTATGGGCTCTGAATTTGAATAAAATAAATGAGCTTATCTACCAGGAAAGCTATATTTGTGATCTCTAGACAGATTCTCAGCACAGTAAGTTCACCCGGTGTTGCAGTAGAAAGACTTAATTTGTGCTCTGAAAAAACATACTGCCTTTAGGGAATGCTAGAGGGGAGAGAACCTGTTCTTGACCAAGAATCCTCCCCAGATAATAAGTAGAGGTAGTGTCACATGAAGATACAGATCTTGATTTTTGTTTGCTGTTGAGTTTATTTATCATCTTACTGTGTTTCTGTCCTCCCCAATGCTGCTGCCTCTCTCTAGATGACAGCAGAACCACAAGCCAGCTGGATGAGTTTCAGGAGTGTCTATCCAAGTTCACACGCTACAATTCTGTCCGACCCTTGGCAACGCTGTCTTACGCTAGTGACCTCTACAATGGCTCCAGCATAGTATCCAGGTAAGACACATCGTGGCTCTGACAGAGCATCTCATGCTGATACAGGCTGCTGAGGCTGAGTTAATAACCTGTATTAAACAAGTTATGGTCTGTATATGTATAACACTTTGCAGTCACTCCCCCGAAATAGTTTCGTGAATGTGTGATTATCATTGATCTGTGAAGGCACTCAAGTACCACAGTAGTACCTTTTTATTCCTGTTGGTGTTGATCAAGAATGAATGCAGAACGTTGAGGTGCCAGTGAGTATCTGGATCTGTTCTGATAAAGCACAAAGCCTGTTGTAGGCTCGGTTCTCTTCATGCTAGTATAGTGCATTGTAAGTGGTACAGTTCTGGCATTTTAAGAAACATCCATCTTGCTTGGTGTTGATAGCTTTAAGAATCTGTGGTGGTTTTAAATATTGTTGGTGGATCCAGTTGTAATGGTAAATATTAAATAGCTGAGTTGGTTTTAGCTGCGATTGCTTGGAACTCTTGAGTGTTGGAAGCTCTGTTTACAGTGCTAAACACTAGTGAGGGGGTGGTTGTAGTAAAGCCAACTCAACAGCTCTCTTCTTGCCAACAGCAACTCTATATCCTCTGCTGTGTGGGGTGGTCATGTCCTGTGCACTGCTGCTGAAGCTCATCTGAGCCTCCCATGGACTAGTTTGGACACTTAAGCTGGTGAAATGCTATTGACTATCTTCTAACTGAATTAGTTTCTTCTAGTTTAGCTCCATGAATCAGCTCCCTTAGGGATCAGGCTTAAGAGAGCACATAGGGTAGGGAGAGGCTGGGACCTGCCAGCAGCCCTAACCTTAAACTGGTTTCAGCAGCTGTGGAGGCATACCCTGGGGGATTTAATTAGTCTGTGGTAGCTTGTTTTGGAGCTGGTGGTGGTGGGAAAAAAATGATGCAACTATGTTCGTTGGGAAATCTTTTCTGCATGGTATACATGCAGGACCCATTAGCTTCTTACAGGCACATTTCACAAATTCAAATGTATTTGTTAACAGCAGCCTTTTGAAGGAGGAAAGTAGTATCTCTAGATCTCCTGCTCCCCATGTATAAAATAAAGTGGCCATACCTGAGGTCTTGGAAGAAACATGACGGTGACATAATGAATGGAACTTGGGGTTTCTGTGTCTTGATCTAATGCCTTACAAAGGGGCCATTTGGACAGTGACAGAACAGCTTGAATGTTTGTTGAAAGACCCAGAGAAATTTGTGCCATGTGAAGAAATGGAGGCATGTGTAGCACAGAATACTTTTTTTTTTAAAGCAGCATTGATTCCTTAACTACTGCAATATTCAGGAATGTATAATGTCCGACTTAGCCACAGAGGTCAGAACACAGTAATCACTGATCTGACGTATATTTAACCTGCACTGATTGGGTTCACACTAGCTGCAATGAAATGCAGATGGGAATCTCGCTGCAACGTAGACAAACTTCCTCAGCTACCAACTTCAGCACGGATTTGATTTTGCTCCTTTGCCCTTTCTTCTCCTTGACATTCTGCAAGAGCAGCATTTTTGTGGTATTTGGTTAGAAAATGCTGGAAGGGCAGTAAATCTTGCTCCTGTTTTGAAGGCATTATAACTCTTGGGTGAAATATGTTTGAAAAGTATGCGTGTTACTGTTGTTAAAATGAAGATACTGTGGGGCCTCCTTCCAAGCCAATGCTAGAATTGGTAGTTAAATGCATTTAACTGAAAAATAACTTGGCTTCCAACTCAATGTTCATGCTTTTTATTTATCAAAGCATTTAAGAAATTTTTAGGGTTTTTAGTATGTGAGCTGAATAAGACTGTTGACATCTGAGCATGTCCTTAAGTGCTTTGGTAAAGCAGGGCTGCTGAATGTGCTGCTGCAGTAACTCTTGTTAGCTTCTGGCTATCCAAACCATTCCTTTAAAGTTTGAATTTGTTAACCAAGAGTTTACATGTAATACGTGTTGGCCAACACAATTCTGTTGTTCACCATTGTTCTTCATCCAAATTAATAGACTCAAGTTCAGAGAGTGTCTGTGAAGCTAAATGAGGTGTGTGTCTCAGTGATGGCAGCTTAAGATAATAGAGCAGCTGTTAGGTACCCACGGATGGGACAAATTAATTATTGGGGTGCTTTAAAAAGCTTTTTAACTAAGTGAAATGCTGCGAAAAGTTTTATTATCTGGCCGACTGCGCTGACTTCTGAAAGTGTTCCTGGGCATGGTGTAGGAAACACTGGTGAAATGACAAAAAGTAAGTCTTGCTGCTTAGCTGTTGCTGTTGAGACAAATGCATTTAAATACAAAGGAAATATAAGGTTAATAAGTTAGGAATCCTCAAATTTTTTTAAAAAGTATTTTAAAGAGATATTTTAAGTATATTTAAGAATAAAAGTAGAATTGACCAGAAGTTAAACTTCCTTCTACTTAATATAGTTGGTTTTTAAAAAAATAAACTGCTGTTACAGACAGAATATAAGGGTGTGTTTGGTTTGCATTGCCTTAACCCTACATGAAATTCACTCGCTGGACTCCAAAAGCTCTGCTGGCTTAAATAAAGAGGGTTTTAAGATGTATTAGCTTTATGTTTGCAAAGGAAGAAGATAGAAATATGTTCCTTATCTGCAAAACCTTGATGTTTATTTAGAAGGGAAATAAAACAGAGTTTATGGTAACAGGTTGACAATTATAATTGAAGACTGTATATAAACAGGCTGAAAAAACCTGAAACTGAGCAGCAGTAGTATTTTCCGGAGCACCTTGCCACAAGCATATTTATGAATGTCTGGACTTCTTGAGGACTAATAAAAGACCATAAACAACACTATGTAGGTTGTATTACTATAAAAATTCTGGTGCAGTATTGGGAAAGCTACAGTCTTTTGGGATGAAGGGACAAGCCAATGCCCTGCTCTCCAGCCTCAGGTTTCCCCAGCCTGGCAGCGAGCTTTCCTGAGGGACCCGTGCTGAGCCTTGCTGGGCTGGCGGCTCTGCGGTGGCCGTGCAGCATCCGCACGGTGGCAGCCGTCGGTTGCGGTGCTGGCAGCGTGGGGCTGCAGGCAGGAGCTGGGCAGGGGGTGGAGGACCGATGCAGTGCTGGTACCTAAGCTGTGCATCTTCCATCACAGCCTGATGGCCTTATTTAGAAAGGTGCACGCAATGCGATCGTAAGCCCAGTGAGGGAGAGCTTTCTTATCTTGCTTAGAAACATGCTCACAAGCAAAATTTACAACCCTCGGCTCTTTTTTCCCTTATTTGCTTCAAGAAAAACAGATTAACAGAGAAGGGTGTTCAGTGAAAAGGCTTTGCAATTGTTAGTCGCTCAGTTTTGCTTTAACATTCGAAGGACTTTCAGCATGCTTGCAATGTGAATGTATATGTACCTTAATATACTAAATGTTTTTTTTTAATACAGTCAGTTCTCTTAAGTACAAAGTATTTACATAGTTTTCACAAGTATACTAAGTTTAGTTAGAATTGGGCCAAGGAATAAATTTTCCATTTATTATGCCCCCAGACAGAGCAGTTGTCAGAGCTTAACTTTTTCTTCTCTCCACTTGCTGTGGCAGTAAATAGTAAAGGCTTTCTTTTAAAGATGAGTCTGTAAACTGCAGCGTTAGCATTACAATGATTTATGTAGAAAATTGCTTTAGCACTGTCAGAGGCCTTCAGAGAATAATGTGGCAGTCTTTCATATTTAAAAAAAAAAAAAAATCCAAGAAACAGACTACGGCAAGATGTCTGTCTGAAACTTGGTTATCACAAAGCTGGTTCTCCCTGCCGGGTGGTTCCCAGGTCTGCTGGAAACATAAGTACATCTCTCCCAGAGGCCCTGAGGTTTGGGGGCAAATGGTGTGGGTTTTTGCCATCTGCTCAGACTTCAAATTCTTCTAGGTTAAGTTACCATTTCTCTGAAAGGTCTTGAAATGACATCCGAAGGGTTTTGGTTAGCCAAGACTAACTATATTTATCTAAAGGCATAGTGATTTAGAGAGAGGGAAAGAAACAACTTGGTCTTTGACTGCTGAAACCTTACTCAACTCATCTGTGAAACCTTGAGACAGTGTTCAAAAAAACTGGATCTTACCTTTGGGGTCCATTATTTTTTTTTTTATTGCTTGCTTATTATTCCATTGCCTTTTAAGTGAAGAACAAGATATGAAGAGGTTTCTCTTAGTATTCAAACAGTACAATTAAGTTGGTTTCAAGAGTGTATTTTTGTTTCTATTGACTCTTTCAGTAATGTGACCTGAAATCCTTTCTTCAAAGGTGAGCTTAAAAGAAAAATCATCTATTAGGAGTATGTTTTCCATGTATTCATTGAACCATTCTATTTTTTTGTTCCCCTTCTTACTTTGGACCGCAATTACTTTTGTGTATAAATTCTCACATCCAGACTTTAACAAGGTACCTTTTAGTTCTGTGTCCACCATAACAAGCCCCTTTTTTCCTTTTTTTTTTTCCTTTTTTTTTTTCCTTTCTTTTTTTAATGCCCTGGGCTGGCTAGGATTAGATGAGCCATTTTACTAAGTTTGTGACTAGCAATGCTTCTGTCTTGGTGGTAAAGATAAATGAAAGAAATGTAAGTGGGTTTATCCCTCACAGGATTATATTTTAGAGCACAGTAGATGCTCTTCCTTGAGAAGATGAGAAATGAGGATGGCTGAATTTTTCTTACAGTCTGTTAAATCGATCATTTTTTAAATGGACTTTTATGTACAAGTGGCAGCTGAAAACTGTGGATGGATCAGTCTTATTTGGACTGTTCCCACAACTGGAAGGAAGAGAGAAATACTTGGATAAAGAGACTTGAACTGCAGAGTGGCTAAGGAAACTTGAGGTGTAATACCCTGAACGCTTGAAGTGTGATACCCTGAATACCTGGAGTTTATGCCACTCCTGTAGTTCTCTTATCTTCATCTGAGGTTTTGGCCTATAAAGCAGAGGTTGTCTGGGGCTGAAATGGGATTTTGTTTAATTAAAGCAGAGCAAAGTACAAAGCCTTTTCCTTACTTTCTCTTCTTTT